ATAACAGCTGGAAACAGTCAGCTGTATCAGAATCTGTTTGGATAAATAATCACTGATGTGTTTTTATTTCAGCCTACATTCGCTTCCACCTGATCTCCCCGATGATCCAGAAGAGCCCAGAGAAGTAAGAGCCACCGACACACCTGAACATATTAGATCCACCTGCAGTGCAGCACAGTGTTACCTGGAAACAGTGACTGACACAAACATAGCTTCATGTGCTACATATTCAGCATTTGTTAAATTTGAGCGGCACAGATGGAGAGTGGGCTGAGCCTCACTAAAGTCTCTAAATCTGTCGATGCAGTCACCGAGTTATGAACAGAGAGGTGAGCAGAGCGTGGCGATCACAGCTCAGAGTGAGAGCTGCGCTCGGTCTGACGTGGTTCAAACGGACACGTAAAGAATTCAGATCTAGCAGTTCATTCACATTCTGAGATGATCACGATGATGATCATGATGATGAAGGTATCTCTCTCTCTTCTCCTCCTCCTCAGCCTGGTTCTCTTCGACCTCTTCGTGAACATCCTGGCTCATAACCTGGCAGAGCCGGCCTACGAGGCCGACGTGGCTCAGCTGGAGTACAAACTGGTGGCCGGAGAGCACGGACTGATGATCCGGCTGAAAGGCTTCAACCACAAACTGCCTGTGAGGACACACACAGACACTCAGACACACACATTTTGGTATGAAGGTTATTCCTGCTCTGCATGAACCTGCAGAGTCAGCACTTGCAGCTCTGACAGTCTCCGTCTCTGCTTTTATCTTCTTTATTCTGAAAACCAAAGATTGCAGGAAGTGTCCTGCAGATGAGCAGGTACTTATTTAGGCATTTATACTAAAGCTTTTTCTAAATTAACTTAAACTTCAATCATCACCAGTCACATGTGATAAACTACTGAAGGGTTGCCCCATAAAATAAAATCCCACCGTCTTCGTGTCACTGAATTCTCACAAACTTCAGGAACTGTGAGTGCCGGTCTCTCTGATAATTCAATTCAATTCAATTTTATTTATACAGCGCCTAATCACAACAACAGTCGCCTCAACACGTTCTATATTGTAGTATAGAGACCTACAATAATAATCTCCAAAAGATAAAAGTCTCTACAAAACACATGGGTGAGTGCTCTATGCAGGTCTCATCAGCTTTTTTGTTGTGAAGGTTTGAATTTTGCTGAGAGTAGTTCGATGCTGCTTGACTGTGAGGGTATCTGTTAGTTAAAGATGAAAGCACACAATAATGAAGTTGGTTTGATATCTGCGAGTCGGAGTGTTAAACATCATTTCAGCTGCTTTGTTTTCCTTCCAGCTGCTGCTGCACCTGATCGTGGATAAGCTGGCAGACTTCAGCACCGAGCCGAGCGTCTTCACCATGTTCTCAGAGCAGCTGAAGAAGACCTACTTCAATATCCTCATCAAGCCAGACAGGCTGGGCAAGTACGTCCACACAGGCCTTTTGAGTTCAGTATCTAGAGGAGCGAGGGGTTGAACCAGTGATTAGTGGATGACCTTCTGAGGCACAGCTGCTCCTGAACCAGTTCTGTTCTGTTTTAACAGTAAATCGTGTCACATTTTAATAAGCTAATCAGAAACTTTTCCATCAAATAAACGATTCCCAGTGATTTCCATCAAGCTGTGTTCATGTTCTCTGCCCTGTGCTCAGTCAGAGCATGCTCACTGATGTCAGTATGTGGGCTTGTACATTTAAGAAGATAAGATAAGATAAGATAAGATAAGATAGAACTTTATTAATCCCTCAGGTGGATTCCTCTGGGAAATTCGGTTTCCAAATAGCACAGCACCAACAGAGCACCAAAGTTACAGAATGTGAGCAGAATACCATATAAATACAGAGACATATATAAATAAAGAGTATACAAAAGGAATAAATAGGAATAAGAATACAAGGGAATTGCACATTTCAAGTATTGAAGTCTATTGCACCGTTGGTTATTAACAAAAAGTATT